TGCGTATGTATGTATGTATGTATGTATGTATGTATGTATGTATGTATGTATGTATGTATGTATGTATGTATGTATGTATGTATGTATGTATGTATGTATGTATGTATGTATGTATGTATGTATGTATGTATGTATGTATGTATGTATGTATGTATGTGTATTGAGGGGTATTGAGGAATGGAGGAGGGAGGGAGGTTAACGGTGAATGCGGGTGCCCCGCCTAAGAACCCCATCAGTGGTGGTAGAAGGGGGCCCACTCAACCGCTAAATACGGCCCCAAACACACACGTACATACATACGCATATCGCGCACACCCAATACCTTGAGTTTTGTGTAGCAGTTGAGCAGCAGCGTGGTGTGGTCGCATGTGGCCAAACCCTGGACAGAGGGGGGAGAGGGGGGGCAGGGAGGGAGAAGGGGGGGAAGCGGAAAAGGACTTATGAGGAATGTATACACCTTGATACACGCACACACGTACATACATACATACATACATACGTACATGCATACATACATACACACATACGTACATACATACATACGTACATACACTCATTGGAATGGGAGACCCTCCTCCTTGGTGGCGGTGGGATACGGCATCACCATCAGGGCTAACTAAGCATGAATATTTAGACACGGTACGGCAGAGGTACGACATCTGTCCTGGTCGTATCTGTCCTGGCAATTTCCTCCCCTCGGCCCCACCCTCCACCCCTCCACCCCTTCCTGGCCCCCGTTACCGTCCTTAGGCCCTCCCCCCTTTTTGAACACCCCNNTCCCCCCTTCCCCCTTCCCCCTCCACCCCCCCCGCACCCGCTCGTGCATGAGCTCCAGGTAAGCGGTCAAGTTGTGAATCCGTTGCGCATCTAAGAAACGCCGGATGACGTACGACGGCTCCAAATGCCCAACCGTTTCCAGGTACTGCGTCATGGCCGCGTCGTACTCGCCCTGTTAAACCACCACCATCACAATAACCGTAATGCCGCGCGGTACGACATCAATGTACCAATGTGCCATAACCCGCAGATTGCAGTGCGAAAAGAGCGGGGGAGAAAGGGGGAGAAGGGGAGGGCGGGAGGGGAAACGTGTTTGCGGGTTATAGGCTGCCGAGCGAACCGCCAAAAGCTCTCTCCCACTTGCATTAGCTCCAGACATGTGCACTACCTCCACTACCACCGCTACCACCGCTACCGCCGTCTTCCCTTCGGAGGAATTAGGGGACACTGCCTAGGGCAGTAACACCCCCAACCCCCAACCCCCCACACACACATAACCACACGGTAAGCGTTACTCCCCGGCCCAAACATATGCATTTCCACTTCCTGCTCGCTGGTACATGAAGCCTCACTGTACCTTGCCGTACACTCACTCCCCTCCCTCTCCCCCCCTCCGCTCCTCTTACCCAGGAACGACACCCCTAAACCCCAAACTACTAGAAATCAAAATACACACACACGGCCACACACGCACATTAATCCGGACCTGTATCCCCCCTCTTAATGGGAATATCGAAGTCCAATGGTTCCCTCCTCATGAGACAATTCCCCTCGTTCGTACATTTTCTCTCCGGAACCCTTCAGCCGCCCTCCACCCCCTGTTTCTCCCGTGTCGTACCTTGCCGTACAGATGATCTCCCCATCTTTGATGTATGTTGGCCAGAGTGGTGACGTCAGCCACCCCTGGAGTCCAGCTGCGCGCAACATCTAGCGCCAGTTTGTGTAAGGAGCGACGGAGGAGGGTCTGAAGGCACCCGGTTTGAGGGGGGGGGAAGGGGGGGGAGGGGGAGAGGGGGGAGGAACTTAGGAAATGACGTGTCGCGATGGCACGCAAACCCGCAGCCTCAGCCATATCTCGCAAGGAACCGCCTAGGAGCCGTGCCGAGGCCGCAGCGGTGCAGCTGTGCAGAAGACTTGGCGAAAGAAGCGAAGGGCGGCTGCTACAACGTGGGCCTAAGCACTGCTACCGCAGGAAGGCACGAGCGTGGTATGTGGGGCATCTACCTAAATGTTATTAGCATAAATATGGAGGGCAACGAGTAGCGAGGTAGTGTGAAGAAATGAAGAGGATTTTACAATTAAATATGATTTTGGGTTGGATGTACGGAAGCACGGAAGGAAGGGGGGAAGAAATGACGGAAAGAGAAGGAAGGTGCTAAACTCTACAATGTTTCGGGGTAGTGCGCCCTCACCCTCACCCTCACCCGCACTCTCACCCGCACCCTCACCTACCCTGTAACTATAAAGCTGTTTTCATTGCTTGCAGTTATTTTCTTTTTGTAACGAAGACTTCTCAAGAAAACTGATAAAAATATATATTATATATATGTGGTGAAAAGCGAAATGAAGCTGAGAAAGGGGGAGGTGACGGAAGCGAGACGGGGCCTGACGAGACGGGGTGGGGGAAGGGGGTTACAAATGTACGATCATTCGAACATCCATACATACGTACACGCACACCCTCGTACTGCCGTACCTCCAGCTGTGAAGGTAAATCAATCTCCCGATAACACCACACGGCGCCGGCCGCTGTCACCGCCGCGTACACGTGTGTATGTACGTGTGTTTTTTGGGGGGCGAAAGGGGGGAAACGGGCGTGTACGGAGGGGGAGTGAAAACATCGGTGACGTGTGCAGCATCCGCGGTATAAGGGAGGAGGAGGAGGGGGAGGACTGGATGATGTTTGCACCAACATGCATCTTACGTAAACTCGAATTAAACATCTTAATGCGAATATGCACATATATCCCCCATGATATAACCCCACGTCGCAAAGTCTTGGAGACATACATACATACACACATACACGCCCCCAAGAGGTTCACCCCCCACCTGTCACAGCGTGTACGGCACCCCACGCGCAAAACACGTGCTGCAGGCCCTGCAGTACAAATGTGCCCGCCAGCAGCTTCGTCCGTACATCCGCTAACTGAAGGCAGCTGCTGCCGCCACCTCCACTCCCGCTACTGCTAAACCCCACGCCGCCGCCGAGACCGAAACCGCCGCCGACCGGGGGCCCTACGCCGCCGCCGCCGCCGCCGCCGATGCCCGATAGCTGGATGTTGCTGGCGGACGAAGTGGGGCTGCCCGTGGCGGGGTTGCCCTCTTCGCGGGTGACCTTGCCGGGCGATGGCAGGGAGGCGGTGGAGGCGATAGATTGGGGTAATGCATGGAAGAGGTGAACCAAAGGAATTGAGGGAGATTAGTAATGCCGTACAAACAAACAATTTTAGCTGTTTCATCAAATGCTTGAATAACAAAAGCGATTTGTTATCAAAAATCGAGTCCGAAGGACCTAAAAATATGCCACATGTGTATGTCTGTCGGTATGTGTGCGAAACATACCGCAGAACCTCTTACCCCCACCAACCACCCTCTATACACACACCACCCCGCGTCACACACTCGACAGCCGGGTCCCGCGAAAAAAAGGAAGCTAAAACCCTATGTACGGAACCGGGTGCAACCGTCTTAACGACCAACTTCTTTCACACTCACCACGACAAGATATCTCCCAAACGCAGTCAACCGCTGCTTAGTCCCTTCAAACACCGTACAACCAGCTCGAGTGTCTGCCGTATAGTCGTACAAGCCCTGTACGGAAGGCATGTAATCAGGAGGCGAACTGGGAAATGACTTTTAAGTTACGAAGATGCCGTATTATTATTGAAGGTGGGCTGCTGGTGGTGCTGGTGGTGGTGGTGGTGGTGATGGGAGAGTTTCGTCACATCGACGTGCTCACACATTTACATCGGAAAAGAGCTGTAGCAGTAGCTGTAGCAGTAGCTGTAGCTGTAGCTGTAACCCCAAAAAGATGCCTAGTTTTACGGTCCACATGTGCATGTGTGTGTTTGTGTTTGTGTCGGGGGCAGATGGCCGATAAAAGATTCATGAAACACCGAGTTCTACGTCGTACTCCGCCGTACTCATGCCGTACCTCGGATCGTGCCACCGTCAGCAGCGAGCCCCCCGGCCTAAGGCAGCAGCAGCGGGGGCCGGGGGAGCCTTGGCGGTCGAGAACCGTCTGAGGAGGCGGGGGAGGTAAGGGAGAGGTAAGGGAGAGGTAAGGGAGAGGTAAGGGAGAGGTAAGGGAGAGGGAGGACGAACGCAAGTCATCTTAAGGCGGGGTAAGGGGGGTATTGGGATTCTTCCGCCCAGTACCGGTGTGGTGTTAGCCGGCGGTCTTTAGGTACCACCGTCTTCACCCCTGGGTTACGCGACCAGAGCCCACAGAGTTTAAAAGACAGCGGGGGGGGTGGGATGTGGGGTGAACCAGGGGTGAGTCCTAGGGGGAGGCGTCAGCGAGGTGAAGATACCCCACCCCCATACATACAGACATACACCAAGCCACATAAACCGGAGAGGATAAAGTACGAGGAGGAAAAGGGGGAGGAAATTCAAGTACGGCAGCTTTGAGATCAGATCTCTTTCCCCTAAAGGAGAGTGGACTTGATCAACCCCTCTCACCCATCCACCCCCCACCCCACCCCCAGGCCCCACCACCCCCCGAACCTGTACCTTGGTATTCGCCTGAAGATGGAAGCACAGCGTCAAACTCTCCGTCACCACGAACAGCGACAACAAATCCGAAGTGCCTTTCAGTGTGTGTGTGGGGGGGGGAAACGGGGGGAGGGGGAGGGAAGGGACAGGAAACAGACACGCCTGTGTATGTGTGTCGTTCAAGAATGGTACGACAGCCGCTGGGCCCCGGGCGGCCGGCAGGTGGTGTGGTGGTGGTGGTGGTGAGGGGGAAACCTTGGGGAACCGCTGATGATGTAAAACACACCACTGGAGAGCCCCTCGACAGTGCGTGGAGTGGAAGGGACATGTACGATGGACGAGATGGACCGCATGGGCTAGGAAACAGAAAAACTGCCAAACACAAACACGGACACGAACACAAATAGAAGCCAAAAAACCCCTGACCCGCCACCACCACATCAGACTCCACCAAGCCGAAACACATCACCATCACCATCACATTTTCATTATCAGTCTTCACACACACGCCCGCAACGCATATCCGTACAATGTCGTACTATTACTACTATACGGCAGCCGTACACGTACCGGTCAGTTCCAACCCGGTCACGCTGAGCATGTCCCCCTCGTCCGGTCGGGCCGACAGGCGCCGTGAGTGGTGGAGCTTGGCTCGGGGAGGTCCCCCGCCTGCGTGTGTGTGTTTTGGAGGGAGGACATGTGTGTGTTTTGATGTGTGTGTGTGTGTGCTTTAATGTGTGTGTGCCTATGCGTGTGCGTTGATGTGTGTGTGCGTGTTTCGGTGTGTGAGAGAGCACAGTGCGTTTGTGTGTATGTGTTTTAGGATTGCCTCCCTAAGAGATCTGAGTACTCAGGGGCTGGATGGGCAGTTGGCGATAGGGGGGAGGGGGGAAGGAGGGGGGACTTCACCGTGTGGCAATATCAGGGAGGGCCCACCACCACTACTGTCCATACACCACCCCGGACCGGCCGTCCCTAGCGGTACAACCCCCGAAGAGCACAAGCGGCGTGGTCGGTCGGAGGGGCGCTGGGGGGGGAGCAGGCCGGGGAACTGAGTATCCGTAATCCGGAGTACGGCTCCCTCCAACCGCCGCCTCCGCTTTCCGATTAATTTTAGGGGTTTCGTATGTTTCCGTTTTCCCTTTCCGGTCCCCTCACCCCTGGCCGTTTTGTTGGATGGATGTGTGTATGTGCTTTCCCGCCCTCCACATCGCCGCCCCGCAATACACATACATACATACATACATACATACATACATACATACATACATACATACATACATACATACATAAACACACACGCACACGCACCTGCCGGCGCCGCGTAAACCTCCCCCACCAACACCACCACGCTGCCGGACGACAGACCCAGTGCGATCGTCACTGAGGTGGAGGTCTGTACGGCAGCAGCAGCTGACGTGGATGTAGCAGTGGCAGTAGCAGATTGTGGTTGTACGGATGTCGTCTCCGCGACACTGTTACCACCAACACTTCCCGTACTGCCCCCCAACTGGCTGCCGACGCCGCCGCCGCCGCTAGCGCTGCTACTGCTGCCGCCGCCCTCCGCCGCTGCTGCAGCCGTGACGGGAGACTCCGGATATTGATGTCCGCCGTGATATCCGAAAAGCTGCCTCAGCGAGATGAGTGAGTGGGCGAGTGAATGAATGAGTGAGCGAGTGTGCGAACGAGGGAGGAGCAAGCGAGCGAGCGAATGAGAAGCGAGTGCGCGAGCAACGGAGCGAATGAGTGAGCGAGTACGAGAGTAAGTTAGCGAGCGAGTGAGTGAGCGAGCGCGTGGGCGAGTGGATGAGTCAGCGAACGAGCACGCGCGAGGGGGTGAGGGTTCGCGAATGAACGAATGAGTGTGTGCAGTTGCGCAAGCCAGTGGCGAGTGAATTGTGAGTGAGCGGTTGGCGGCGGAACATCATCCGAACTGACGAAAGCTAGGATGCGACCCCCCGTGACCCCAAGCGAGCCGGTACGACAGATGGAGGATCTGCAGTTAACCAGGGGTGGAGGGGACCGTGTATGACACCATGTACGACACCTTCAGCTCGGGCCTCAACCCCGTAAGACGTTTCATATCGTACTTTGTCGTTTGTTTCTCGCACATGATTCGCAAGGTTGCCTACCTTGGCCACCTTGAGGGGCGTCATGGAGGCGGCGACCCCCGCCAGGGAGTTGGAGCCCACCGCCGCTACAGCTGCTGCAGCTGCTCCTGTCGTCGCTCCTGTGCTGCTACTGCCGCCGCCGCCGCCGCCGTTATTGCCACCATCGGCGGCTATTACTGCCGCCGCTACGAGGCGTTCTCCCCACCATAACTTGACGGTTGTGGACGAGCAACCCGGTTCCTCAACTCCCACCGTTACCAGCAGTTGCCGGCGCTTTAAAGGCGTACGGCCGCACGATCAGGTGACGGTGCAGGTGAGGGGGCGGGAGGGGCAGTGGAGGAGATAGAAAGATGTCTTAACTTTCAAGATGACACAGTTAGTACGACAGATCAGCAGTGCGGCACAGCGTCCACATCGCGCATTTGTAGGGGATAATGGGGAATAGAACTTGGTATTGCGTCGGAGCTCCGAGTTGGTATCGCATCTGGGAATTGTTTGGACAGGTACGAGCGGGCCTGACGATTGTGATGGAAGCTGTGCGATTAATGCGGCTCAAGGTCAGGACCACGGTCCAGCTTGTGATGGATTCGTTTGTCTACTCTCGGACAAGCTTCGGAATGTTAAAAGAAAAGACCTCACCTCCAGCCACAACACCTCCAGCACCTTGTGACCATGGGCATTAAACGATCCTATCAGGGAAAGCCGGGAGTCTAGGACACAGACGCTTCCGGACTCGGTGCCCACCCATAACAATGGACCTCCCGGCACAACGCAGCTTGCGTTGGGAGGAAAGCCATGCCGAGGAACCTGGTGGGGCTGGAAAAAATTAAAGCGCTTGAATGCAAAGCTCATCTTCTCCGAGGCTGAAATCAAGCACCATCAGCGCACGCAGGAGCTAGCAGCGAACGAAGACGTAATCCTCGTGCAAAGCTGTAGTCAAGGAGCATTCGGTTGTCTTTGGAATATCATTCTCCTTCCCAGGAAAAGCAAAGATCTGTGCAGAACGTAATGTCAAGCTTTTATTGGGTATAACATCTTTCCCTCGCCCCTTCCTTACAAACGTTTATCGTCGATACAGTGTGTTTGATTAGAAAGTGCTAGCATGACGGGTAGCGCAGGCTGCAGGCCACAGCGCGGGATGGACAACCGATACTTGGCCTCAAAAATTTGATGTTTTTGAAGTTGAGTTGTTTGTCATGAAACTCTTGAGCCTTGGACACAATCTAAACATTTATGGCTTGAGGGATAATGGTTTCGGACTCACCACAGCAGCGCAGTATGCGATTTGTTACATCTGACCCCGAACGGGTCACCAGTATGCATCAGCACAACACTGCAGCACCGCCGCAACACCCTCTCGTATAGGCCGGTCGGCAAACGAAGCCCTTCCAGACGCTTCACAAACCTCTACATAGCTGAAGCCACATGCAGAAGATTCCCTCGGACAAAGCCACAAGAACCCGTATATATGACGTCTCGTCTTTGACCTGTCCATCTGTTGGACATGTTGCACAGTCAAGGATAGCCAGGCAGAGCGATCGACCAGAGCACGCAATCGCTTTGGACCACCACAATCAGCCATATCAAACATGACGCATTACAAGGTAATTAATTCATGAGCAGTTTGCCAGTAGAAATTTGCTCCACGAGAATCCAAAGAGATGCGTCTCGACGGCTTGTGGTGGCAACCCTCCCTCAGGCGGGACGAGGTTAGCCGCAGTGATGTCGTTACGCTCACACTCTTTGCGCAACTCACCCTGCCGTGTGCCGCGTTGCGGCTGGAGCGCGGCGGTGGGCCCAGTTACCCTGGCCGGCTCCGCGGCGGCAGCAGTTGGCTGCGCAGTACGTGGGCGCGAGGGTCCGGGACCTGTTGGGTCGTGCGCTCCATTGGCGTTGTTGTCGGCGTCATGCGCCGCAGTGGCTAAAACGCTCCCGCAGTTCGCGGCTTTTCTGCACATAGGAGAGTTCCTCATTAGCTTCCATTAGGAAGCCTAGTGCGGAGCGATAGCCTTGCTCGTCGCAGAATTGTCTGACTTTGTCAAACATGCGCGACGGCGGTGTTATGCCCTTACGCTGGGCACGCCTTACGTACTTCTCATACATTTCCTGGACCTTTTGTACCAGTTCCTTTGCCCTAGAGGGGCTCACCTGGCGCAGCTGATAGCGCTCATGGTCGGCCTTCGCCGACTGGGTGCGCATGGTATTCCCTGGGCTCGCCATGTAAGTCAGATAGAAAATGTTTCTTAAGTTGGAATGTGTTTGCGGAAGCGATGGAGTGCTTGACTCCGAGGTCGTTTGACCGGTTGGTCTCAGATACCAAAATTGTAACAAAGCTTGCAGTTGGCAAGCAGTTGCGAAAAAGGAAATTATCCAACGATAAAAGGTGGTATTGATAAATACCGTTTGGTATTGGAAGATTATGAATAGTTCTTGGATGTACCGTTGGTACGATACCGTTGGCCCGGTGAGCCAAGGGCCGCCTTAGCGGCGTTACAGCTTCGGTCCCTTGAGCATTAGAGCCGGCGTGACCTAATTGATACATTCGTACATGGAAACACCCCGCACGGACCCCCTTCCCCCAAAACACACACACACACACAACACACGGTGTCTGAAAAGTCGTGATGACCACCGCAAGATGCTGCACACCGCCGCGGACTTTCCATTTCGACATCTTCCACCCTCCAGGTGGAGGTGGAAACAGAAAAAATTACTAAAACATTAAAACAGTCCAACATGCCTCTCAACCCTGCAGTCCGTTTCCATCAACCATTTTTTAACAACCCACAACGGCCTCGTACGCTAGATTTTTAAAAATGGCTTCTTGAAAAGTCTCCACTACGCTCCCACTAGCACTCCAAACTAATCACTTAGTTCCGTTATTCCGTCGTTATTGCCGTACAGGCGTGTAGTGCCCCTCATCAGCCGCCAGCCTGCTTGATCCTCAGGCTCAGCGCCGGGCCATAAAATGCGCGTACGTATGTGCGTATGTATGTGTGTATGTGTAGTGCGTGCGTATGGATGTTTGTATGTATGTAACGCTTACCTCCCGGAGTGTTGTCCGCCGCATGCTGTTCCAGCGTTTGTCGCAATCGGTGAGACTCGGTGAGACTCCTACTTAACAGAGCCACCACCACCACCACACACACCGAAAAGCGTCACACCAAACACATCACGCACCGACCGCCCGATGCATACCTTGGCTTGTACGACATTACGACCCTTGCGCGTTTGTATGTATGTATGTATGTATGTGTGTTCCCCGTGCGGCGCCACTCACCCTCTCTCTGACTTCCTCTTCGCAACTCCGCTTTATTCTCGTCCTCTTTATTCTCGTCCCCCCTCTGCCTCCTCCCCAGCTAGGACAATACAAACAAGCACATACACACACAGTATCTGCACAGACAGACAGATAGACAGACAAATGCGGCGCCTGATGCACTGCCATACCACTACTCACACATGAAAAACCCCTTCTCCCCCTCCCCCTCCCCTCCCCTCCCCTCCCCTCCCCCCCCCTCCTCCGAACAATCACAGCACTCCAAACACGTTGCCAAGTCTGTCTGTCTGTCTATCTGTCTCTCCATCCCCTCCCTATCCATCCCCAGCTGTTGATGACCATCACCGTCATCACCCCCCATCCCCCAGATCTCCCCTCCCCTCCCCCCGCGGCCCCTCTCCCGATAACACCTCCCACACACACACACCCTCCCACACACACCCCTCACACCCCATACGAGGTGATGGTCTGTTCAATGATGTCGCAACACTCCCGCAACTGCGCCTCCGACATCACCAGCGGCGGGGCGAAACGAATGATGTTCTTCTGTGTGGGTTTCGCCAACAAGCCGTGGTCCCGGAGCCGCATACACACGTCGTACGCCGAAACGCCGTGGGATTCGTCAATCACCAGCGCGTCCAGGAGGCCCTTACCGCGGACCTGCCGTACACGATATGTAATGTACGGGATGGTACGGCGTAAACATCATATATATCCAATTTCACAGACCACGTGGAAGATGTTCGTGGAAGGTGTTGGTGGCCGCAGATTTCGGCGAAAAGGGGAAATTGAATATTTGCAAGACGCCGAGGGGTGCGGGGGAGGGGAAAAAGCGAACCACGTGAACGAGTGAAGCTGCTGCCAAGGAAAGAGTGTGCAAGAAGCAGGACTGACAAGTCTTCGGTTGTGAAGGGTAAGCGGGATGGAGTAATCTTTTGTACGGCAAAAGTATGCCGTGTTTCGTTTTTCCCCTCGCCGTACTCGAACCGACTTGCTCCTTTCCCCCCCCACACACACATACACACGGGAGGGGGGGGAGAAAACCCCAAACCCAACATCCCCTCCTTTCTTCGGACAACCCACCCCTGTCCGGCCTCAAAACGCAACGCACGCACACATACATACAGACAGACATACATCACTCTCACATTCTCTCCAGTCGCCCCTCTCCCCCTTCTTCTCCCCCGCCTTCCCCTCAAAACACAGAACATACACACTCTTCCCCCCTTCTCACCGTCTTGACCAGCTTTGACGGTATCGCTGCCAGCCTCGTTCTCAATACCTGACCCAGCCGGTCGCTGTTCTCCGCCAGGTTCTCATCCTGGAGCACCTGCGTGTATGTGTATGTACGTACGTATGTATGGTCCTGTGTTCGTGTGCTGTGCGTGCGTTCCGATGGGTGTACGAGCAGTCCCCTAAAATCCCTTTCCCCCGCCCCCTCCTCCCCATAACTTCCCCCCTCCCCCGGCTCCAAACTAGACCACCCTGCCGTACAAACCTGCAACGCCGCCATGGCCACGCGGGCGGCAAGAGGGTTACCGCCGTACGTGCTGCCGTGCTGCCCCCGGCCAATGGTCAGCATGATCTCGTCCCGCGCCAACGTGGCTGCTACCGGGTAGGTGCCGCCGCTGAGGGCCTTGCCAAGTACGAGAATATCCGGTCGTACATCCTCCCAATCACAACACAACATACGGCCTGTACGGCACAACCCCGTCTGGACCTGCGTGTACGTGTGTGTTTGGAAAGAGGGATGGGTTGGTTTCGGGGCAGATTCAATGCAATATCTGTACGGAAAAAACACAAAACACGGCAGCAGCAGCCGCCCAGCAGCACTACGGCACAGATATACACACTCATCACCATGGGGCCCCCCCCAAGGACACAATCCCCCCTCCCCCCCCCCAAAACACGCACACACACATACACACCTCATCTGCAATGAGCAGCGCGTTGTGTTTCCGGAGCAGCCTGTGCGCCGAAGACAAGTAGCCCTCGTCCGGCACCACCACACCCGCCTCCCCCTGCCGTCACGTGACATCGTGTGACGCGTCGGTTGGTCGGTTGGTTAGTTGGCAGGCAACGGGTTTTGGGGGACAGTGCAAGAGGAACAGAAGAACCTTGTGCCGAAGGAAGAACGGATGGAAGGTGAGAGGGTCTTTAAGACTGCAAAATCTGTAATCTGCATGGCGCACCAAAAACCCTAAGTTACAATACTAGGATTAGTAGGAAAGCTGTCTTGTCGGACGGCGGAGAGCGAGGGAGAACGGGCTCGCATTATATTCGGTTTTCTTCCTCAACCATCATCTTACCTCCCGCGCTCCCACTTTGGGAGCCCTACCCCACACTTCTATCCCCACCCCCGGCAATACACACACCCCCGGCAATACACCCACGCACCTGGATGGGCTCCACCATGAAGGCTACCACGTTGGGGTCGGACTCCAACTTATCCTGAGGGTGGGGGGGGGTATGGGGGAAAGGGGGGGAATGAGGGGGGGGGGGGAGGGGTAAAGGGGAAAAGGGGGGGAAGGAGGGGGGAAGGGAGGGGTTATGGGGAAAAGGGGGGGAAGGAGGGGGGAAGGGAGGGGTTATGGGGAAAAGGGGGGGAAAGGAGGGGGGGAAGGGAGGGGTTATGGGGAAAAGGGGGGGAAAGGAGGGAAAGGGAAAGGTTACGGGGTAAGCGTGAAGAAGAAGGGGGGAAGGGAGGGGTTATGGGGAAAAGGGGGGGAAGGAGGGGGGAAGGGAGGGGTTATGGGGAAAAGGGGGGGAAAGGAGGGGGGAAGGGAGGGGTTATGGGGAAAAGGGGGGGAAAGGAGGGAAAGGGAAAGGTGACGGGGTAGCGTGAAGAAGAAGGGAACGGACGATAAATTACAGAGAGTGGGCTGTATACATGTCTGTCAGCCCGGCACGTTCTGTGTCGTACCTGTAAGGCCTTCAGGTCGTTGTACGGGATGACCTCAAACCCCGGCATAAACGGACCTGGGTCCCCGGGGGGAGGAGGCCCGGGGAAACAGGGGGGGCAATTGCGGGTTAGGCAGCAGCAAGATTGGTTAGCAGCAGTAGCAGTAGCACATGCAGGGCCATCTGCTCTCACCCCCAACAATATTTCCCGCCCCCCACCCCACCCGACCCCACTCGCTCCCGGCCGGAGAACCCCGACACACAGCACCATCACACCACAAACACGTCCCCTCCGAAACCAACATCTAGCTGCACCTCCCCCCCC